TCACTTTGTTTCAATAGTATCGCCGATCCATTCATAGCCCAAATGTAGACCATTGGTGGCTATAATAGCGGCAAAAATCCATAAACGGATCATATTTTTAATGTTAAAAAAAATATTTTATAATTATTTTGTTTGTATAATAACAACAAAATTAATACAGAATTTCTAACAAATAGTTTGATTTTTTTTTTAAAAATAAATAAATAAAATATTTTTATTTTTACAAATAAATAAATTACTAAATATTTTTTTTTGATAACTTTTTATTTAATAATAATTAAATCTATAATTATATATATGAAAAAAAATTAAAATTCAATATATTCTTTAATATATTTATTCTAATATAGTGCCTAGGTATTAATTTTTTAATTTAAATTTATTTTAATTATTTTATTTTAACATTAAATTACACACACACACACAATTATTTTTAAGTGTAATTTCTATAATAACTTTTCAATAATAATTAATTTTTTATTATTTTAAAATTTATAACAAATTTTTACACCACTTTGACTGTCGGAGTCATATATACTGTATATATATATATTTGAATAGAAAGTTACAAACTTAACTAACAGTGCCTTAAATACCTGTCCTCATCAACAACAACACTATAAACACTTGACAGTCATATATAAAATATATCAAAAAATATACTGATATATCAATAACCAAGTATTGACTGTCAATAATCATGTCATACGACAACATATGCTTAATAAATATAAAAAATAAAATAAAATACTATTAAAATAAATAAGAAAATAAATAATTTCATAATAATTTACAATAATATAGTGTATTATAAACTAATTATTTTTTTTTTATTTTTGATTGTCTGATAATACTATATAAAGCATTTTTGTTGAAACCTTTGAAACACTTATATACATATAACTGATAATAATATTATATATATATATATATATATATATAATTAATTGAGTTATAATACTGTAAATAAACTGTAGTTTTATTTTTTGCATCAATCAATTAAATTGAATTTTTTTTTTTAATTTTTTCTATGAACTCATATCATTAAAACATGAAATATTAAATAAATTGCAAATAAAATCACAATCTTATGACTTATTGACAAAAAATTATTGAGTTTTAGACCAAGGGTTGGGAACAAAAACAAAATAACAAATAACAAATAGTTAAAATTATTTAATAAATATATTATTTATATAACAAAATTTAAATAATGCCAACCCTTGGTCTCGATAAATAAATTATAAATAAAAATTTATTTAACAGTGAAATGCACTGAATTACTGTAATTACTGTAAATTATAATTATGTAAACAATCAAACGTGTGCTTAAAATACATTTACATTATAATTTTTTTTTGATAATATTTTAATATACAATATATATTATTTAATATATATATACTGTATATATACGTCACTATATACTCAAAAAAAAAATTATATTAAATATTATATAACTAATCAAAAAAAAAAAAAAATTTTATTTGATTCAAATAAACAATTTATAACTGTATATACCGTACAGTAAAAAAAAATAAGTTTATAATATAAATAATGGAAAATTTTTTGTCGTGTTTATTATTATTAAAAAAAACAACAAATAATTTTTTTTTTGTAAAAAAATTATTTACTCAATATATTAGTCGTTATATATATATAAAAATTAAACCTAATAATAAAATATAATAATAATAAAAAAATATTGCATCCAACTTATATATATATATATATAAATATATATTACATATTTACAGTGCAATCTTAAAAAATGATAAATTATATTATTTTTATTTATAAAAAAAAATATTCTGGAAATATTCTTAGAATTTTACATTTAAAAAAAATGAATTTTAAAAACTATACACCATTATTTTACTAAATAACAAACAGTTAAATTAATTTATTAAATATAGTAATAATTAAAAAAATGAATTTTAAAAAAGTATTTAATTATTTTTATAATTTAATAACTGATTTAAATGAAACTGTGTTTTCAATTAATTAATTAAAATTATGTTTAATTACAATTTATATCAATTAATATATATATATATATATATAATACAGAGTTGCTAATGGTTTTAAATTTCAGGGGGGTATAGGGATAGGTAAAATGGAAAAATTTTCGAAAAAACTTGGGGGGTATAGGGGGGGGGGGGGTGAACATTTATTATTGCATTATTAAGCAACAATTTTTGCCAAATTTAAGTAAATTCCCATTAAATTCCCACTAAATTCCAACTAAATTACAACTAAATACCCAATAAATTAACTAATAAAAATATTCTGAAATTAATTTCTCAATATTCAAAATGTTTTGTAAATATTAGTAATAGATATAAATAATAGTAAGAACATTTTATTTTAAATATTAAATTGACTAGTATCATCTGAACAGTCATTTTAAATTTATTGATTATTTAACACACGCTGATCTAATAATAAATGAAAGTAAACCATTTTATTCTAAATATTAAATTGACTAGTTTTACCTGAACAGTCGTTTTAAATTTATTGAATATTTAACACACACTGATCTAATAATAAATGAAAGAAAACCATTTTATTCTAAATATTAAATTGACTAGTTTTACCTGAACAGTCGTTTTAAATTTATTGATTATTTAACAAACATTGATCTAATAATAAATGAAAGTAAACCATTTTATTCTAAATATTAAATGGACTAGTTTTACCTGAACAGTCGTTTTAAATTTATTAATTATTTAACACACGCTGATCTAATTATAAATGAAAGTAAATCATTTTATTCTAAATATAATATTGACTAGAATTACCTGAACAGTCATTTTAAATTTATTGATTATTTAACATTGATCTAATACTGAATGCATCGCCGGTCAGGTGCTTGGCAAGCGCAAGCAGCCTCTCGTAGTCGTTATAAGCGTATGTCAATGCGGTGAAGCCATCGAACCATTCGTCGATAGGAGTTACGGAGGAACCGCCTATAAATGGTTCACATAATTTAGATGCGTGTTTTACGGTACTATGCGGTCGTGTTGTTGAGGTATCGGCATCGGAGTCCAATCGCTGTACGCTAGTACTCGATAAACTCGATGCCGTATTGCGATTGTTATTCACGTTTCGTGCGACGGCGGCCACTTGAGCAGCTCTGGTCAGCGTTGCCAGACGTTGTGCTAAGCCATCCTGTGTCGGGTCGTTAGTCATATCGCGCGTCAATGCTTTCAAGTCTGAAGCGATTGACAACAAGTCTTCATTCGTGTCTTCGGAAATCGGGTTTAGTCCGTTCGCACCCGTCGTTACGTTCAGGTCGTTACTGAACGGCGGTAGTGTTCGGTCACTACTTAATTGTTAAGACATCGTTGTCTTCGTATCGTTTTTCTAAAACGCTTTATTAACGAAAAAACCGTTGAATCGATGAGAGCCGTTAAGGCGACAAAAAACCGTTGTTTTTTGAATTCAAAAGTGTCGGTGAGTAGGTCGTCGAAGTCGATTTACTTTCGATATCCGCGTGGTAAGTATCTCAGTCGACTGCGCCAATTGATTTGAGTGGCCGTTGATCAGGCGGCCAATAACTCGGGTTCGGTTAAGTATACGAAATAAGTACACGTTTTTATATGAAAGCAAACGATTTTATTAAATATAAAATATGCGACTAAACGCTGTGAAAGCTAAACGACTACTACTGTTGCGGAAACGGTAGAGTCGTTGAAATAATGCAATGCTGTCGCTGTTGATGTTGTGTTGAGCGCCAGCTGTTAACACAGTATATGGCCGGCTCTACCATATCGTCCGATCTGATTGTCCGAATTGATGTGTCCGATGATTGTCTCGGTGGTGGTAACCGTAATCTATCGCACGATACACATAAACGGTAGCGCCCAATGGACCACGTATGCACGTGTCGACTGCACCTGCAGTTTTCGGTGTTGTTGCTGTTGTTAGTGGTGGTGACCATAATGTTAGTCTTTATCGTGGTTTGGCCGTCGTTGTCAACCGTTTTTTTCAATAATGATATTAAATTTATTTTGTTTTTTTATTTTAAAAAATAAATTATATATAATTATTTGAAAAATTTATTGTTATTTAAAACTTTTTAATAATTAAGTCTAAATATAAAATATATTTTTATGAAAAGACAGTTAGTTTAAGATTAGATCCACAGATTAAAGGCACAGTTAGTTAAACCATACAATGACTACCAATACTACACCCGATTTGGATAGACATAGACAGACCATACAGTCGTTGACTGCAATCCGTACAGCAATTGCCGCCAGCAATGACCAGTCAAACACCCTAACCGATGAACAGCTTAGACAATGGCTGCATGAGATACATGGGCTACAACTGGGTATAGACTCGGGATCCAGACGTCGATGGGAAGGCCAACACGTTTACCGCGAATGTCAACAATTGATACGATCGATACGATTGATGTTAATATACAGACAAATGACAGCCGAAGGCGATCCAGATGTCCAGCGATTGACAAAATCAATGGCTGCTAATCGTCGGGCCAGACCTCGTCAGAGGACACTATCGTATGGGACGAGTAGTCTGAGTAGTCAACAGCCGGCAACGGCACCGCTAGTACAACATAGACGAACATCAGCCGGTCAGCTACATCAGCGGCTGAAATCGGTAACACCCGCCAGTCAGCGTAGGCCACCGCTTGAGCGGTCAACATCAGCACACAATATACGGGTAGCCGTACTAACCGAACGAGAAAGACAGCGGACATCAATCTACGAGACACCATCGGGCAGTGGTGGCCGAGTAGGTAGTGGTTGGTCACCAAATTTGTTGATGAGCGGACTGTACGGACATTTGCCTCAGCTCACGACCGACCATCTCAAGGGTGAACTGTTTATGTCGGCCAGCGATCGCCAGCTAACCGACCGAGACTACGAACTGCTAAGCCATGAACTCATCAATTATGGCCTAATTATTGATCAACAAAACCAGTTGGATAAGGGAACTATGGGTATAGTATTTACGGGTAGGTATGGCCAAAATGTATATACACTATAGATATACTGTATATAGTTTTTAAGCATACAATACACAGTCATATACTGTATTAATAATAGATTTTGTTTGTTTGGCTTTCCTATAGATTAGTAAACTAATGGACATTGAGGGCCAGTATATCCAGGGTTGTCAACCGGGCCAACAATTTGCAGCCAAATTGATTAAATTTGATACAACTGACAGCAAACGTAAACGCCGGTGTCTATACATGGAGAAGCAGATTATGAAACTGATTGCCCGATCAGCGCATGTGAATGTTGTCTGCTATCGTATGGCCGTCAATATGGGCCGGTCGATTCAATGCCAAATACCAACTGTCCATCAGCAGCTGGAATGGTTCCTGAGCTATGAACGTACTGTGATTATCATGGATCTGGCCGATCACCAGTCACTATATGATTACCGATTGAAAGCATCGGATGAGACAACTGGTAGTACTAGTAGTAGTAGTAGTGGTGGAGGACTAGGACAGGTAGTATTTGATGCCAGGGTATGTGTAAAATTTCTACGCGATATGCTTGCAGGGCTCCGGTATTTGCATCGTTTAGGCGTAACACATGGCGACATACACGACGGTAATATACTATTGTTCAGCCATTCCCTGGCCAACCCGTCGCGCGATCCATCCGTACCATTGGTAGCCAAATGGACAGATTTTGGCGGATCGAAAGTCAGGCGAATAGATGGGCGCCAGTATCTGACCGATACTGAGCACCGGGATTATGTCGAAAAGGATATGCTATGTATGCAGTATCTGGTCAGAGACGATATGCTCAATCAAGTTGATCCCCGTATGGATCAGCCGCGTCTGGACGTATGGCGACAGTTGGCCGACCAGTTATCCGAAACCATTGACATACAGGTGCTGTACATTGACTATCTGGTCGTTATTGAGTCGATTGGTTTGTAAAATGATTGTGTTTTTTGTTAATTAATTCAATAAATGTCTTATAATATACTTATTTGGTTTAGTTTATGGGGGGGGGGGCTGGGGTAGTAGGGGTGGGTTGTGAGGTTAGGAAGTGGACTGTGTGTTTTTTTTTGGAGGGGTGGGTTTGTGAGGGTAAGAAGTGGATTGTCTATGTTTGAGATGTATAAAAAATTGTAGTTATTTTACGGCTAAATAAATACAGTATATTTAATATACTGTTTTTGTTGATATCGGCCGGTGCTGTCATTGTCTATGTGTGTGTGTGAGAGAGTGTGTGTATGTGTGTGTGTATGTATGTATGTATGTATGTATGTATGTATGTATGTGTGTGTGTGTGTGTGTGTGTGTGTGTGTGTGTGTTTGTTTGAATGTCTATATGTGTGTAACATACTAAACAATTTTCTAATTTTAAATCAGTATTTAATAATAATTTTTTTATCATTTGTTAAAGTATTTGAAATATATGAGAAATACCTTCAAAACCAGTTTGTTGTATTGGTTGCTATTGTAACAAATCTAACTGTCCATCATCATCATCACCATGTCCTACCCGACTACCACCATCACTACCTATCGATTCAATGACAAACAAATACTTATCGTACAGTTGTTCAATATCTGTATCGACCGATCGTATCAATTTGTCGGCCAATTTACGCCATACCTTGAGTTCATTGGGTAGACCATCACTACTACTACTACCACCACCACCAACACTACCGCCAGTTCCCGATTGACGATCGACAACAAATACATCGATCATCGGATGCCAAAACATTAGGCCTAGCATACGGCGATCGGTAAACCTATACATATCAAACTCGTCCACTGACAGATACCGGCGCCCATCAGCAGCAGTAGCTCCCAGATCCAGGCACTGGGCGTAACCGAAATCGGTTAGTTTGGCCACATAGGGAACACCACAACCACCACCACCGGTAGGATGATTCAATTGGCTAAATACCAGTACATTGGCATCGTGTAGGTCACAGTGGGCAACATGTTTACGGTGCAGATATCTGACTGCACCTAACAGATCGCGCATAAACTTTATGCACGTGTCGACCGTATACTCGTGAACCACTGGTGGTACCCGTGATTTAGGACGTCTCAGTTGCCGACGTTGTTGTTGTCTGGATGGTTGTACACCTCTGGCTATAAACTGGCGCAACGTTTCCCGATCGGCCAAATCCATGATCAACAACGTATGCTGATAGCTGTAGAAGCTTTCCCAATGGGTATCGTACTGGACATTGACCAGTACCCGACTGCCCATATTGATGGCCATCCGTAGGCCGACAATATTCGGATGTTTGCCGACGTATTTCATAATTTGTTTTTCCATATAAACAGCCAGCCGTTGGTCGTCCCGGGCGTCCAGTGCTAGACGTATGTATTTGGCGGCAAACGGTCGACTTTCCTCAACATTATCGTCATCAATGAGATACCGGTTCTCACTGGCCATCAATCGGGTCCTAATCTGTATACATAAATAAAAAGTTAGTTAACATATATAACTGTGCCATGAAATTAATCTTATATAACATAATAACATAAACATATAACAACACATACATTGCGTCCATACCTACCGGTAAATACATGTCCATAGCGTCCCGTTCCTACAATTATACTGTCGTCTAATTGAAAACCATATGAAGCTAATTGTTGGCGCAATCGTCGATAGTCGTTATCGTTGAGCGGGTCCCGAATATCGGGCATAAATAGTTCGCCAATTATTGGATACAATGGGTGTCCCGGTCCCGGATGACCGTACAATGAACTCATAGACAATTGCGATGGTTGGCCACCACCACCGCCAGCATTAGCGGCAACCGTCCTATCGTAATGAGATCTACTTCTAGCTACTGGTGCCGCCGCCACTGGCCTACTATACCTGTCCGTCTCAATTGTATGTCTCCTATTATGTCTATGTTGTTGCTGTTGTTGTGGCAAACGATGATCAGGGATACCAACAGCTCCGGGATTTTCAAGTGGTGGTAGTGATGGTAGTGGTTGTAGTAGAGGTGTCTGATCATCAGCGGTATCATCATTATTATTGATGTCCATATGTATTATACTGTATTATACAGTGTGTCTGTAGGTATGTGCAAACCAATCGTTAATTTTTATTTATTTAAAAAAAAAAAAATTTCATTATTGGATCAATAATTTTTATATCGTTTTTAGATTAAAGGGTTTATTTAGTTTAGTCTACATTTAGTGTACATATGAATAAAAAAAATATCTTAAAATATTAATTGACATAAAAAACATTTAGTTATTTAGAGAGAGAGAGAGAGAGAGAGAGAGAGAGAGAGAGAGAGAGAAAGAGAGAAAGAGTTTTATAAGTCTAACTATTGTCCAAAAAAATATACTAATAATTACTATACAACTAAATAATACAAAAAAAACTAAATTAACTTTTTTTTCTAAAATTACAAATTGTATTACAAAAAAAAAAATAATATTTTACTAATTACTCAAAACAACCAACAAAAACATATAATCTATCTCTCCATCAGTACAGTACAGTTACAAACCTATCGCCTCAATAATCGTCTGAAAGTTATTGTACAGCACCTGTATGTCTGGTGTTACAGACAATTGGTCGCAAAATTGACGCCACGGTTCCAACAGCGGCTCTTCGTAATCGGGATCAACCGTATCGAGCATATCGTCTCTGACCAGATACTGGAAGGTAAGGCAGTCCTGAAAAACGGCATCCTTGTGCTGACGATCGGTACTATACTGGCGTACGTCTATCTGCCTGATGGTAGACCTACCGAAATCTGTCCATTTGGCTATATAGGGTACGGTAGGATCGCGTGATGGGTTGGCCGATGTCTGGCCAAACAACAAGACATTACCGTCGTGTATGTCGCCGTGTGCTATACCTCTCCGATGCAGATACCGGAGCCCCTGGATCATATCGCGTAGAAATTTTACACATACCCGGCCGTCGAACGGTCCCAAACATTTGCCAGCTTCGGGTGCTGTCGGTCCCAGCGAGGCCACTATTTTTGCTGTTTGCCTATAGTCGTACAGTGACCGATGTTCGGCCAAATCCATGACTATAACCGTACGTTCGTAACTGCGGAACCATTCGAGTTGACTATTGCCAGCCAATTGGATCTGGATATCGCATTCAACCGATTGGCCCATATTTACGGCCAACCGATAGCAGACAACATTTTCATGGGGTTGGCCGGCAATCAGTTTCATAATCAACTTTTCCAAGTAGAGCATACGGCGCCTGACTTTCGGTTCGTTTGCATCAAACTTGATATATTTGGCCGCAAACGGCTGTCCTGGTTGGCAACCGGTTAGATACTGGCCCTCAATGTCCATCAGTTGTATAATCTATTTATACAAACAAACAAAATAATTGTTAATATACTGTGTGTGTGTATGTGTGTGTGTGTGCTCTGTATACATCAACCCACGGGTACCTCTACCACACCCACTCCCCCCCCCCAAAAAAAAACCGTACATACATTTTGGCCATACTTACCCGTAAATATCGTACCCATAGATCCTCTATCCAACTGGTTTTGTTGATCAATAATTAGGCCATAATTGCTGAGCTCATGGCTTAGGAGTTCATAGTCCCGGTCGGTTAGCTGGCGATCGCTGGCCGACATAAACAGTTCACCCTTGAGATGATCGGTCGTGAGCTGAGGCAAATGTCCGTACAGTCCGCTCATCAACATATTTGGTCGACCACTACCTACTCGGCCCGGGGTTTCGTAGATTGATGTCCGCTGTCTTTCACGTTCGGTTAGTATCGGTACCCGCATATTGTGTGCCGATGTTGACCGCTCGAGCGGTGGCCTACGCTGGCCGGGTGTTACCGATTTCAGCCGCTGATGTAGCTGAGCGGCAGATGTTCGTCTATGTTGTGTCGCCGCCGCCGCCGCCGGTCGACTGCTAGTCTGATACGATCGTGTCCTCTGTCGAGGTCTGGCCCGACGATTAGCAGCCATTGATTTTGTCAATCGCTGGACATCTGGATCGCCTTCGGCTGTCATTTGTCTGAATACTAACATCAATCGTATCGATCGTATCAATTGTTGACATTCGCGGTAAACGTGTTGGCCTTCCCATCGACGCCGGGATCCATAGTCGATAGCCTGTTGTAGTCCATGTATCTCATGCAGCCATTGTCTAAGCTGTTCAGCGGTTAGGGTGTTTGACTGGTCATTGCTGGCGGCAATTGCTGTACGGATTGCAGTCAACGACTGTATGGTCTGTCTATGTCTATCTGAATCGGGTGTAGTATTAGTAGTCATTGTATGGTTAACTAACTGTGCCTTTAATTTTGGATCTAATCTTAAGCTAACTGTCTGTCTGTTCAAATGATATTTAGATTTTTTTTCTGATTTTTTTTAAATATTAGATTTTATTGTTTAAATGTTGAAAATTTTTAATAACATTTTTCTAAAAAAAAATTGAAATCAAATACAGATTTTTTTATTTTTAATTAATACAACAATAAATTTAATTATAATTTTCAACAACAAAAAAAATAATTTAGTTGGTATTATTAGACTGACATACATGTATAGACAAACAGCACCCATAGTTTCTATAACACTATTACAGGTACTATTAGAGGAACAGTAGGTCCTTAATTGTGCGCATAGTTAGATTGACTGATTGACTGACAAACATATATATAGATAATTGTACGCAAACTATGTCGTTGTCGTCGACACCCATTGTTATCGGCGGCGGTAATGATAGCAACAATAGTAGTCGAGAAGCAGATCCAGAGGTCAGACAAGTATTGTTGGAAATCATCGATAAGGTAGCCGACGACGATGTAGCACATGAAACGGCAGTCGGACAGGTCATGTCGGATATGGTCGATACGGTTGCTGAGGCCAACAACAACGATAATGAAGACTATATGCAGTGGATGTATAGACATCGGCCACTACTGACTGCTAGCCGTAGTCGTCGACCCAGACGTAGGGATAGGTGGCAAACAATGGCTACGGTAGGGTATAGACCACCGGCTCAACCAACACCAGTAGTACCACCAGTAGTAGACAGGAGTAGGTCGTTACAGGACATCACCAGTGATGATGAACCCCAGCTATCGCTTTACGATGAGAAAGCCGGTGCCGGACCTCCGCCTCATCTGTTTATGAGCTCACTGTACGGCCATACGGGAACCGGCGGTAGTCATATCACTGGTGAATTGTTTCAGCGGACAACACCATTCAACGGCAACACCAACAACACAAACATCGGGTCGCTATCGGACAGCGACTATCAGTTGCTAATCAATGAGCTAGAGTACTATGGCTTTCATTTAGATAGGACAGTCATTGGCCGGGGAGGTTTCGGATCGGTAGTTACCGGTACTTATGGACCAAATGTAATGTATAAAAGTATTTATAGACAAAGATATTGATTATTAACCAAAAAAAAATATAATAATAATATTTTTTTTCTATATATATAATATTGATAGATAAGCAATTTGATGAAAATAGAGGCCGTCTATCTCAATGGTGGCTCAGCAGCTCCTGGTCCTCCTACTACTACTGGTAGTGTTGGTAGTGGTAGTGGTGGTGGTGCTAGTGGCGGTGGACCTACCGGTATACAAGTTGGCCAAAAATTTGCCGCCAAATACATACACCTGATCCCCAGTTCAAACAGTTTGCACCGATCGCTGGTCTATCTGGAGAAGCTAGTAATGAAAGAGATCCGGCATCGTAATTGTGTATCCTATAGGATGGCCATAAATTTAGGCCCCCGTAAGCTATGTACATACGGGTGCGACCAATACTATAGCTACGAACATACCATGTTGATTATGGACTGGGCCGACCAGGGTGATCTGGAACAGTTTATTCACTATCATTTGAGAACCGGTAGCAACCAATACAATGTGGGCACTTGTATACGATTTATGCGTGACCTATTGGCCGGGGTCAGGTATCTGCACGGTAAGTCAATAACACACGGTGATATATATGCGTGCAATGTATTGATATTTTCTAGACAAGTACCTGTCCGAGTGGAAATACCGTTTGTGGCCAAACTAAGTGATTTTGGTTTGGCCCAAATCAGACAACTGGCCAGCAGTGGTGGCCAACCATATCTAACCGATCAGCAGCACCGGGATAGTCTACGAACAGATATGGAACAGCTGTATAAATTGTTTATGTTTACAATGATTAAACAATCGCATCCCCAAGCTATGTGGCTACCGGAGCTTGAACCATGGTGTCAGTTGGCATTGGATTTGAACAGGAATTGGGATATTAGGGTTATATTTCAACGATATGCTCAGTTAATTGGTTGGTGTCCATAGATGCTGCCCCGGTTAGGTTAGGGTTAGGTAATTTGGTTTATATATATATATATATACATGTGTGTGTGTGTATGTATTATAATAAATATAGTATACCAGTGCTTATATATACTGATAGTGTATTTTATTTGTTTTTTTTTTGTTTGATTTTTTCATTGTTTGATTTTTTCATTGTTTGATTCAATTAAACTAATTATAATAATTGGTATTATTATAATGTTT